GAACCTCAATCGTGAATCAAATTGAAGTACTCTTTTGTTGCCAAACAATTTTGTGGGTGCGGACAGGATTGCAATGCCACATTTTCACATAAGGAAGGATGCACGTGTCCCGAGAGATGATATGCTTTCGTTGCCTCCTATTTGGATCATGGAAAAAGATTTGTATCTGATGTTTAGGCTGTGTGCAATAGTCTAATTCCATTATGGTCACTCACGAATTGATAGAAAATGTTTGGCAACTGACGTTGATGGAACATTGTAATATGATGTTTCTTAGAAATAGCAACAGAATGTATACTTATCTTACAACAGAGCCACTCTTCATTCAAAAATGGAAGAATATGAAAACTCAACAAAAATGGCCATGTGATTCAGTCCATTAAGCCGCAGTTTGTCACAAGAACCTTCGAGTAAGGACGGTTGAAGCCTCTCTCTGCTACAACAGCTCTTTTATCGCCCACCAGCTTGGCTACCCTGATTCACAAATGGTAAGAATGTTTTTATCTTTTCTCTCTTTTGGAATTGAGTCATTTGACTCATTTGACTGATTTGCATTTTAGACATCTAACAATGAGTAAGTAGCAAGGATTATAAAGCATACCTGAAATAAGGCGAGCTTGTGTTCTCTTGCACAGTCTTCACTTGTCTGATTCTCTCCACAACCTCCATGCCTTCCAAGACTTTTCCAATCACCAATGCTGAGGCATCCAGTTCCGGTGAGTCCTTGATGGCAATGGCAAATTCTGTACCATTTGGGTCTGCTCCCACCTCCTCTTGATCAATCACCAGCTTCCCCTGCCTGGCAACCAACTTCAACTTTGGAGGTGGTTTAGAGGGATCCCTGACAATGATGCTCACTGCTCCAGCCACGTTCTTAGTTCCTGGGCACTTCTCATACAGCCGCTCCCACTCCTCCTCCAGATTTTCTGTTTCCAAATTGCTCCCCGTCCTCTTTGCAATCTCAGCATCCACACCGTATGATCTCAACCCACCATGTTGCACATAGTTTGGCATGATCTTAACAAACTCCTTTCTTCTGTAGCTTACCCCAGCAGCTCCACTAACCAGTTTACTAAACCTTGTAGCTCCAGCTGGGGCATCATCTGCATATAACCCAATGGTAATCCGACCAACAGGCTCTCCATCAATGGAGATATCAAGAAATGCTCTCTTTGTTGAAACTCTGTCAGTGCAGTTAGGACTGGCACTTACTTTGTCTTCTTGTTGATCATTGTTTGTCAGATTTTCTTCTGCTCTCACCTTCGACAGGTTGAGTTGTTCTACAGTTTGAGAACCTAAGAGAAGAAGCAACGAAGCATTACTGGAAATTGTAAGCTCTCTTCGTGACAGATTGAGTTGTTTCGAGATGGAAAGGGAAGAGGAAGGAGGTGCTGGTGGTGTGGGAGGATGAAGGAATTGTGCAGAGGATTGCAACAATTTTGGGGTTTGTAACATTTTTGCTCTGATTTTATAACTTTTCCCTGAGATTTGTGGTTGAATGCTTCAAAGTGCGTTTTCTTGGTTTGCAGAGAAGTCTGTTTATCTCATTTTCAGTGAAGAGATTTCTGAGGATAAGAAGTGCAGAAAGCCAATCCATCCTTATGCTTGGAAATGCCAGATTTTATGGCACACAAGGGACACCACCAATCCTTCAGCAATTTTTGTGGGCCATCTCTTGATTTCAAACGTAAGGTATTGAGATGGACAATTGCCAACCGAACAATTCTTTTACGCCACTCTGTATCAGTTCCAGTTTCAATAAATAAATAAATAAGTAAATCGCCAACCACTTAATTTGATGGGTTGAAATAGTCTTCTTTCATTTCTCTTCTTTCAGGCATGTTTGGTTAGTTTTTGTCTTGAAAATACATTTTAAGAAAATTGTATTAAAAAGTGTGTTAGTTTGGTCCTAAAAAATGATTTAAAATAAAATTTATTAAAAATAATATATAGGCAATCATATAGATTGGAAATGTTTTTTCAATTCAAAAATTTAGAAAGAATTTTTAGGATTCATAATTAATTAAAAGCCTAAATAATTGATTATATTTAAAAAAAATTCATACTAAACAATTAGTCTTTGCATACAGCTAATTTTATCACTACCTTCATTTTTGTTCTATATTTTAATTTTCCTAAACCTGACATCTCAAAGACGTACGGCTTCCCCAGATACACCTTAGGGACAAAGACTAACCAAATAGGCCTCCGATTCCCCCAAACCAAACAGACCGTAAGAGTTAAGAGAATTGGGATATAATTGGAAAAAAATAAAGTTTAAGATCATTTTGAATTGTTACGAAAATTATAAAATTAAAATTCGGAAAATTTGCCGTTTATTATTAGTTAGGGTTTAAGGCATTTCCAAAACCCCGATAACTGGAACTCACTACAGTCTCCATTGGCATTTCCAGAATGGCAAACTCGATGCTTGCGCTCTCAAGAAGGCTCTGTCGCTCTCTTCTCTCCAATCCCAGAATTCCTCGGCTTTCAGTGCCCTTTTCCACTAACCTCTCTTCAGGCGAAGCCTCAGACGTGGACGACTTGGCCCTCGACGACGAAATTCACTCCGAATCCGAATCACCTCATTCGCAATCATCAGAATCAACATCACAATCTTCGCCGGAAGTTAGCACACAGCAAGCAAGGCGACTAGAGAATGACATCCCTATGGGCGTTTTCAAGGTGCATTAGTTCTCTACCTACCATTTTATTTTCCCTTCTCCTCCTTCTGTAATCGTCGATTTAGCATCGGTTGGATGGTTGGAGGGGTTTATGGGTTTTGGGAAACGTAGAATGCGAAGAGTGGTTCTCTGAATTATTTTCATTTCATTGGCACTCCATCGTAGGCGATACTGGTGGGACGAGTGGGAAATCCCCCACATCAGAAGAAGCTGAGAAGTGGGCAGACTTTGACGATGTTTTCACTGGGTACGGGTGGGCAGAACAGCCGGAGGTCGTTGCAGAACGAGGAACCGGCATTGAATGCAAATCGCCCTACCGTTCAGTGGCATCGTGTCTGTGTTTATTCAGAGAAGTTGGGAGAGACTGTGATAAAGCACATTGTGCCTGGGTAAGCTTTTGATCTAAGCATTTATAACTTTGTATAATTGGCAAGTTCTCATTCTGGTTATTGATTATCATCACTTTTGTCTTTTGAGTTTCATTATTTATTTGGTTTTTCTCGTAATCATCCTTTTACTCACAATATTATAATAGTAATTGAGAAATTATGATTAGATTGCCTTGCATCTGTTGTTGAAGCATTTCTTGTACTGCTTTGTCCCAATTGAAGAATTGGGTCACTTGACATCTATTAATTATATAAATCTAGTTATAATTAGAACCTAACTGCCTTACATTTTAATTCTTAACAATGAATGTAATATTGTAATCAAGCTTTGATATTTTATGGAACCTAGAAATATTGTGTTTTTTGCATCCTTAATGCATTTTGAGCTCTCTCATTGTGGCAGATCTAGTTGATTTTTCTTATGGTTTGAAGATTTTTCTTATGGTTTGAAGATTTTTCTTATGGTTTGAAGATTTTTCATTTTTCCCTCTCCTTGTTTTTGAGGATGGCTTTGTGTACACTGATCAATCCTTCTTGTCACATTTTACCAGCTACTAATCTTCTTCTTCCCTTTGTTCTAACCTTTTTCCTTTTCCTTTTTGAGGCAGCTCAATTTTATATTTGGAGGGGAACCTAGAGACAAAGGTCTTCCTTGATCCAATCAATGGTTTGGTTCAACGTTTGAGGGAGATTGCAATTCGCAGAAATGGTACATAATGACTTTCTAACTATATTTCATGGCAATGCATTCATTGATTTAATGAGCAATATAAAATTAAAAATAATGCACTTTAGCATTATAAGATAAATAATAGAAAAATAAAAGTTATTTCTAAATAATATTTCTTTTGCAAAACAAGAAATTAGGAATGTCAACTTATATATGTGTATATATATATTTTTTGGTATTAACCTTCCGATATCCGGTAATCACATTGGTCCCGACTAATCCCGAATGAAGCCGCGTCAGACCCCATTAGGGGGGAAGCTCTCCTAGAGCCTTTGTGTATGTATGTATGTGTGTATATATATATATATATATATATATATATCGTGCTATTTCAGTTAACTCTACTTGAAAGTTGGGTGTTCCTATATGTGCTTGTTTTGTTTGGGTGAGCACAATTTTTGTCAATTTCTTAAGTAACTGCAGATGCATTCTGATTGATTTTGATCTGTTTTCCCAAGACATTTTATTTTTATTTTTATTTTTATTTTTATTTTTATTTATCAACAATACCAAGACTCTAAATTTAGTAGTTTACCACTAGGTTGTTTTACCGGCATCCATAAAACCACAATGCACTCAGTCGTAGCCTTATCCTTATGGTTATCTCATCCCATCCTCCAGTATTAGATGGTCTAGCTGCCAAAGTTCAAGATGTGAAAAGTGATAGTTGTGCTTTTTAGGAAGTTACCCTTGCTAAAACTTCTTTGTTCTAACAATTGAAAACCCATAATAATAGTTCTCATCCTGTCATGAGCTTAAATTCTTAAAGGGCTATTAGGCATGCTACGCTTATTGGTTCCTTGATTATCTCTGTATACCCAAAAGGCATGTTAGGCATGATACATTTTGATAATCCTATTCTTGAATATATAGATGTAGAAGATTTTCTGAAGCGTATGTGTTAAAGGCAGGTGGTATTGTTTTTCATCATTGCATTTCTCCATTATCTATGGGATATTCATATTTACCGTGCTGCTTTGTAGGTCGCTTAATTCTTTTGGGTAAAAGTAGTGATGCTGGAGATGCGGCTCCAAGTGGTAAAAAATGGGCTGTCTTTTACTAGAAAGCAATCAAATGAAGGTGGGAGTTGAAGGGCTGAGAAATGTTAGGCATTAAACTAGTTTTTACATTTGTAATTATTCAGTACTTTGAGAAGAATTCTGATGGATGATGGTGATTTTACAACTTTCTATTTTTTCACATGATATTGTGATGTGTGCAGTTATAATCTCAAGTTTGGTAAGGTATAGTAACAAAAGAGTTATTTTTTATTATACAATAATAAAATTTAAATTGTAATTCTTTAAAAAAAATAGTAATAATAATGGCCCTTCTTTTCTTCCAAAGAAAAAGAAGAAAAGTTTGTCGAACTCCAAATTTTGTGAAAAGTTTGCATATAAATATGAAAATATGTATTTATTATATTCTTAATTTATATTTTAAATATACATTATTAATAAACCTTTTATTAAAACTTTGAATCGTTTTAGTTTTGATTTGAGTTGGCTTGGTGAGTGTGTTAGATACAAGCCAGCCACCAGCCGGCTAGCTGGGGAAAGTAAAATACATTATTTTAAAAAATATATTAAAGAAATTCAAAAGGCCACCGCTGGCTCGGTCGTTAGTCGTTAGTCGTTAGTCGTTAGTCGTTACTCCCTCGGCACCAACTCGCCCAGAGCCACTTGCTCGAGTTGAGCCAACACAAAATAAAGGGCCCATTTACAAGTCTGCCTTCAGTTGGAATAAATAGGTCTTCAAAAAATGCTCATCTGGGGACTGAAAATGGAAAAGGAGAACCTTTTTAGGAAATTCACCAGCTCTTTCTTCATTACTACAGATCAGTGCAGAGCCATTCCATAATTGGTTCAATACCATTCTGGTTCTACTTTTATATCCATTTGATTTAGTTAGATGGAGGCTCATAACCCTTTTGCTTTTAGGAATCAGGATGCGAAGTAACTGTTTTAACTCGTAAATGAGTAGACATGGTCTGTTCGTCTCATATTTGTCCAGGTGTCTGTTGAATTACTCTAAGCTGATAGAAAAGGGAAAAAAGATGGGAACCATCCCAGTCTTCAGATATTGAAGAGTAACTTAGTGTTTGCTTGTGTTATCTTAAGCCTACAGCTTCCTATGTGCTATTGTTTACCTTGCCTTAGAGGTGTTGAGAAGACTGAAAACTACTTTTTTCTACAAATGTAAAATCTTTTATCTAGCTGTTAACTTTTTGATGGATATGAAACCCAAAACCATGATGGATATGGCACTCCTTCCAAACTTTGATCCTATGGATATTGGACTCGGTTCTTCTGAGAAGGGAAATGTTGTCCCTACAGCAAAACCAAGAAAGAAGACAACGACGTCTGTTTATCTCAAATGTTTTGAGACAGCCCCTGATGGTAAAAGTAGAAGATGCAAGTTTTGTGGACAGAGCTATTCTATTGCAACGGCCACAGGTAAGTTTTGTGCAATTGCTTATTCTGCTTGTTTTCAGCTTAACCATTTAGCCTTTTATTTGATGTACAAGAGCTTATGGGACATTTGAGTCGATGATGCTGTGACCACTTGTAATTTTCTCATCCTTCTAAGAATCTCCCTTTTTGTACAGGCAATTTGGGAAGGCACCTCATTAATCGCCATCAAGAATATGAAAAGGGGTGGGGGGCTAGGCTGTTGTCACTAGTTCAGCTTCACAGCTTATCACCAGTGCGACCAAGAAACCTCGACCACAAGGAGAAGCACTCCAGGTGGATTATGATCATTTGAACTGGTTGCTCATTAAATGGCTTATTTTAGCTTCACTTCCCCCTTCAACTTTAGAGGAAAAGTGGTTAGCAAACTCCTTCAAAATTTTGAGCCATCAGTACAACTCTGGCTGGGTGAAAAGTACGCAGCAGTATTTCAGGAAGTTTTCAGGAGCATGTAAGAAGATGTAAGGGCATCTTTGGAGAATATTTCTTCAAAGGTGCCAATCACTTTTGATTTTTGGACTTTCTATGAGTAGAACTTCTACGTGAGTGTCACATGCCACTGGATTGATGAAAACTGGTTCTTCCATAAGGTGCTTCTTGATATTTGTCGAGTGCCTTTCCCTAAGATCTGAGATCTATAACTCCCTGGTAAAGTTCCTCAAGGCATATCTAGAAAAAGCAAGAGCCCACTTCATGAGAAATTATTATACCAGCCATTATTCATCCATGAGTGGTGGATATTCTGCTCAAGAAACTGAAGATGGAGGAAGTGTTTCTTTCGCAGAGGAAATTGCTCGAAAGAAGCGAAGGGCAAGCATGAGCAATGCCACTGATGAACTCACTCATTATCTGTCTGAGCCGCCGGCTCCTATACAAAAAGATGTCTTGGAATGGTGGAAGGTCAATAGTACACGCCACCCTCTCCTCTCTGTGATGGTGAGAGAATTCTTGGCTGTGCAGGCAACTTCAGTGATGCCCGAAGAACTATTTTGCAGTAAAGGTGACAAGATTGATGAGCAACGTTTTTGTATGCCACATGATAGCACTCAAGCTATCCTCTGTATCAGGTCATGGACCCAAGGGGGGCATCGAGTTAAAGTCCACTGGAATAGACTATGACAGGTTGATGGAATTGGCAGCAGCAATGACAGCAGAAAACAGCTCGACTGGTTTTGACAAGAAACAAAAGTGAAAGAGGGTATGATCTGCTGGCAACATATGATCTCGTTACTAGTCTACCTGTTGTATATTTTGCCACCCAAGAAAATTGGGTCTAGGATGTTTATTCTTATTATTGTTTCATGTATATATGAAAATGAAAATTATGTATTGGTGTGCAGCTGACAGTGATTAGAAATAGAATGCTAACCCAGGAAAGAAAAAGCTAGTTTGATTATTTTGGTGATTTTAGCATACAAGTAATGCTATGAAGACTTCTTCTCATTGCACAATGGGGACATCATATCAGAGAGGCTCTCTAAAGCATGAAGTTAGCGGAACCGTGCTGAATTCTATTTTTATCATCTTCATACAATCCCAGAAAATCACATGCTTTGGACGATATTCTGGAATGCAACAATTTATGTTACTGCAACTCTCTATAGGGCTGGAACTAACATTGGCGTAGGCAAACGGTCAAGCTTAGTAAGTCCTGCAAGATAAGGAGAAGAAATTGACAAGCAACATGAAGAGGAAAAAATAGAAGGCAGCTTTGAGACACTCTAAGCGGTTATCATTCTTGTCTTCATTAGAAAGAACATAGGAAGACCCTGAATGCAATTCCTCTTTCTGAGCAGTTTCATTGTCATCTACTTTGGCATCAACTATATACTTGTCCATAGATATACTCGAGTTGCTTGCTTGGCATGAATTTGTTAGAACCTCCGGTGATGATAATTCAGGTTTCTCTCAGGCATTTCAACTTGACACTGTGCACTCATAGTAGACCTGTAAATAGACCTGTCAGAACACATTTCCTTTTCATCCAATGCCCCTTTATCTATATTTGCTGATGGAACCGTCACTATTGTATCATTGAAAGAAACTCTCCCCAGTCTTGCAACATATGCTGGTGATAACATTAATGGAGATTCTGTAGAAATGTTTTTCTTGCTTGAGGTTGATGGGTCTGATGTCACCATTGAACAGGAAAACCTGCAGCTCAGCGCAATGCTCTACAAAGTACTTCCTATAGAGGACTTGTTTGTTGACGAATCAACACTCAAGTTATCCTTGTTTCTTCTAAACCTTTTTACACCATGAATTAGGCAAGACCCTTTAATAATACTTCTTTGGCTATTTGAAGAGCTTTCAGTAGTACTGCTATCAATGTCTTCGCTCTCACTTGACAAGGTAAGAGAAGAAAAGCCCTCACTATTAGGATATGAAATCAGTTGTTTAGTCTTCTGATAGGGGTCTTGGCCTGAATTTTTTTCAAGCTCATTTCTGAAGGTCTTTCTTGAAGGAGTTTGATGATCTTGCATTTCAAACCTCAGGCGAGCATTGAGCCAGCGTTGGTACACAGTTCCTCAACCATGTCAAACCTGTTCTTCTGCAGTCTTTCTACTCCTTTTAAGAGGTCTTCATTGCCATGTCTTAACATGGTGATCTCTTCCTCAGTTCTAGCAATAATCTCACCCTGCAGCAGCCCCAGAGAAGATAAAAGCTTTCAATATTCAAGAAGTAACTTCAACATTGCAAAGGTAATTGATATTTGTTCTTTGTATTTTGAGGTAAACCGCAATTTAAAATATGGAGTCAATGAAGGGAATAAGACGGTGGCTTTTGTGACTATTTACCTCTGTTAACTTGGAAATGGCAGATGTTTTGGCATGAGCAGCAACTAACTTAATTGCCAACTCCCTTTTTTCTAACTCAAGTGCTTTGCTTCTCCTCCTCAGACTCACAACATTCAACTCGATGCTTTGCACGGTACTAAGCTTCTTCTCAACCAAGGCATTTCTAGCAGAGGTGCCAGTGCCTTAAATCCTGACAGTTTTTCTTCAAGCATCAACATCCCCTTCACCTGTCCAGAATTAACATCCATTTTCATCTGCATTTCCTCTATCATCTTCTTTGCCATCACTAACTACTTCTTAGTCAAGCTGCCCTGTCTAGATTTTTCTTGAAGATCCTTTATCTCAACCTTCAATGCATTGATTGTGATATTCAGTTTGATGGTTTCTGCATTCTTGTCCTGTAAATTCTTATGCAGATGGACATGGTATGATTGCTGTTCTTTCAGACCATACAATTCAAGCACTTTCCTTTCAAGGGTTGCCTTCCTCTTCTCCAACTCTTTAACCATATTCTGCAACTTCTCTATTTCCATACTTTCTAACCTTCCACAGTCTCCTTTCCCAGGCAAATTTTGCTCAACATCATCTCTCATTTTCATCCATTTGACACCTTTAATCTCTTCCTCCGGCATCTCCACTTCCTGCAAGAGCTTATTCAGTCAACTTCTTATTTTGCTTTCTGAATTTCAGAGAGGAAAAGAAATATAAATGGATGGAGAGATATTACATGAATGTCATCTCTAAACCTTTCTTCTTCCCCATAACCTTGTTCAAAGCTTGAGCAATTTTCTGAGTCATTGAAGCATTCATCTTAGCAACACTTTCTGAAATCTGAATAAACAAACGAATAAACAAACATTTGTATTTCTCCAGAAAAGCCTATACGGTAAAGAAATTACTGACCTGAATGCGGTAAAATGGAAGTGCCTTTCTTCTTCGCAACCCAAGAAACTGTAAAGGCTGCAAAAGAAGTTACAACTAGAATGCTCACCCTGAACACCATGTAGCTTCTTCACAGTTCATAGCAACTATACCTCACAACTTCCTCATCACTTAGATACTTA